ACACACATTCACATTCACACTCACATTCACACTCACTCACATTCACACTTACTCTCACACACAATCACTCACACACACGTTCACACTCATTCTCACACACATTCACACTCATTCACATTCACTGCCATTCCTTGGGGAGGTGATGGCCTAGCGGTATTAGCTGGACTGTTAATCCAGAGACCCAGATAACGTTCTGGGGATCCAGGCTCGAATCCTGCCACAGCAGATGGTGGAATATGAATTCAATAAATACCTGGAATTAAGAATCCATTGTTGATTGTGGGGGGGGAGCCCCATCTGGTTCACTAATGTCCTTTAGGGAAGGAAACTGCCATCTTACCTGGTCTGGCCTACATGTGACTCCAGGCCCACAGCAATGTGGTTGACTCTGAACTGCCCTCTCAGCAATTAGGGATGGGCAATAAATGCTGCCTGGCCAGCGATGCCCTCATCGTGTGAATGAATAAAGAAACTCACACTCACTTTTACACGCGAGCAGTTAGTGTAGGACCCTATACGACTCACTTCAGGATCCTGGGTCACTGCTCAGACTGGATCCCATGGGGCACCCTCAGATCTACCCCTGTCAGCTCCCACTCCCGGTTCCTACCTCAGGAGATGGGAATCCATTCGGGACCTTTCCATCAATGGTACTTTTCACCAGCTTGTCTCCGAGGATGTTCTGTAGGTGATGAGCCATGACAGTTTGCTGCTCGATGCTGCAGTGGTTCTCGATGGACAGAATCACTGGGAATTCTGAGAACTGTCGTCATCCACAGGTCATTAGTGCAACTGCAAAAAAACTGAATCGAAACATTCCCAACCACATTCCCAATCTGATGATTTTTGTGGGGGCTTCTCACCTCTGCCTTAGCAACAGCAGGGACCAATTACCATCGCAACAATCACCCAATCACAGAAATCCTCCAGCACAGAAAGAGACCATTCAACCCATTGTCACTGTGCTGGGTGTCCAAATGAACATCTCACTTAGAATTCAACCCTTGATGGGGTGAGCCTGGAGCTCATTACCTGAAAGGGTGGCTGAGTCAGAAATTATTTTAACATTTAAAACAATGTTTAGATATTCTTTGGCATTGTCATAGCTTCCAGGGCTATGGGCCAATAGGTGCAAAATGAGTTGTAGGAGTTGGGAAATCATATAGAGGTTGTACAGGATGCTGGTGGGGCCTCTTCCGGAATACTGTTCTGGTCACCCAGTTATAGGAGGGATATTATCAGGCCAGGGAGGGCTCAGAAGAGATTTACCAGGATGTTGCCAGGAATGGAGGGTCTGAGTTATAAAGAAGGGCTGGATAGGCTGAGACTTTTTCACTGGAGCGTAGGAGGTTGAGAGATGACCTTAGGGAGGTTTATAAAATCATGAGGGTTATAGAGAGGGTGAACGCTATGTGTCTTTTCTACAGGATGGGGGATTTCGGAACCAGGGGACACATTTTTAAGGTGAGTGCAGAGAGATTTAAAAAAGACACGAGGGGCAATTTTTTTTACATGAGTAAGTGGTGGATATGGGTACAATTACTACACTTAAAAGACATTTGGACAGGTACATGGATAGGAAAGTTTTGGAGGGATATGGGCCAGGAGCAGGCAGGTGGAAAACAAAGACAGAAATTGCTGGAAAAGCTCAGAGTTAACGTTTCCTGTCCGGTGACCCTAGTTGTGAGGAAGGGTCATTGGACCCAGAACATTAACTCTACTTTCTCTCCACAGATGCTGCCAGACCTGCTGAGCTTTTCCAGCAAATTCTGTTTTTGTTCCTGATTTACAGCATCGGCAGTTCTTTCGGTTTTTATTTAGCAGGCAGCTGGGACTAGTTTGGCTGGGATCATGGTCGGCATGGACAGGTTGGGCTGAAGGGTCTGTTTTCATGCTGTATGACTCCGTGACTGGTGTGGACAGGATGGGCCGAGCAGCCTCGCGCTGGCTATGTGTTTGAGTTTTCACATGTACCTACCCGGAAAGCGTACTTGTTGATCACGGAGATGACGTCTTTGAAGAAGATTTTGGAGGTCAGTGTGTGGCCATGATACACAATAGGTTCCAGGTTCGGACCATCCCAACAGTCAAGTTCCACACAGCGACACCCCTTCTTCAGTGCTCTGAGGGGGCAGTGAGACTGGAAATCAGAGTTTTCCCCGACACTACAATCTCGAGACCACTTTGAGGGGTCGGGGGGAAGGGGGGAGCTGAGACCCAAAGGGTCAGCAAGGTCAAATACAATGTATAGAACATTAAACATAGAACAGTACAGGACAGTACAGGCCCTTCGGCCCACAATGTTGTGCCAACCTATTATCCTACTAAGATCAATCTACCCTGCATACCCTACATTTTACTATCCTCCATGTGCCTATCCAAGAGTCGCTTAAAAGTCTCTAAAGTATCTGACTCCACTACCACTGCTGGCAGCGCATTCCACACGCACCCACCACTCTCTGTGTTTTGGGACAAGTCATAGCAGCAGGTTTTCAGGAGGGTATTGTCAAAGAAGTTAGCGAACTACAGAGATTTAAGGAAGGAATTCCAGAAATTATGGCCCAGGTAGTTTAAAAAATACTGATAGGAATGAAGGATGTTGTAAGAGGCCAGAACTGGGTGAGCACAGAGCTCTCAGAGGTCTGAAAGAGATTACAGAAATTTACACACTTAATCACACAGACCAACAGATTCAAGGCCAGCTTCTTCCCTGCTGATAATACACTGCCGAATGTCAGATTTTACATTTAATGTTGATCACTCTCTCTGTGCATCATCTCTGCAGCCGTAACATTGTATTCCTCGCTCTATTCTATTATCCTAATGCACTTTGTATGGTATGGTCTGCCTGGACTGTACGCAAAACAGAACTTTTCACCGTACTTAGGTACATGCAACAGTAATAAATAAAATCAAATCAAACAGGAAGGGATTAGAAAAGAAGGACTTAAGTTTTAAAATCAAGGTGATAGCAGTCTGGGAGTTGAAGCTGGTCGATGATCACAGGGATGTGGCGTGAGTTACAATACAGAAAGACTGTGGCATGCAATGTATTGGTTAAGTCCTGCTTTTTTACTGGGACGTCTGTCAGTCAGGTGTAATACTGCTCACAATGCAATTTCCTGTACCCTGGGGAGACTGAACACAAACTGAGCGACTGCTTTGCTGAGCCCCTCCCCTCAGACCCACAAGCGTCACTTTGACTGTCCAGTCACCTGTCATTTCAATATGCCATCTTGCTCCCCTGTTGGCATTTCCATCCGGGACCTGCTGGAGTGTTCCAGTGAAGCCCAGTGCAAATGCATCTCAATATCCACTGAAACACCTTACAGCCTTCAGTATGTAATTCAGGGTTCACTAGCTTCCAAGCATATCCCCTCTCCTCCAGTACACAGGGTCTGACACCTAACCCTGCTGTGATCCCTAATCTCCCTCACCCTCTATCCTTTCCCTGATCTTCCCACTGTTCCCTACCTTTCCCTACAAAATATGCCATCACTTTCCCATCTCTCCCTCGGTTGTTTGGTAGGATAGACCTTGTATATTGCAGAAGAAAGACTCACCTTGTCAAAGTTTCTCATCTTGCCCTTGTCAGGACACTCTATAAGAATACTAATTCAAGGGGAAAACTTATATTTGTACTACATGAGAGGACAGTGCTGATTGGTTGGCATTTGGAGTCTGGAGAGAGAAAGAGAGAGAGTGTGTCCTTTTCCCGCCAATCAGCACTCTCCTCCAATGCAGTATAAGTTCTGGCTTTCCCCTTATAGTGCATTCTTGAGAAGTGTCCTGATGAGTGCAAGATGAAAAGTTTCAACAAGATATATCTTTTCTTGCACTAGCTCTCTCACTCGTCAGTTCTGAAGAAGAGTCATAATGGATTAGAAATGTTAACTCTGTTTTTCTATTCACAGACACTGCCAGACCTGCTGAGTTTCTCCAGCACTTCCTGTTTATTTTATTTCCGACCTCCTGTGCGTGCAGTATTTCTGCCTGAAGCCATGCCAATACCTGATGTAGCCCTCCACACTGCTGTGTCCACAGAGCTGGTCCTCCATCAGGTATGTGTTGTGAGACGACGAGATAAAGTAATGGCAGAGGGGCTGTGACATATCCTGATACAGAGGCTCGTGTTTGGGATTAAAGATGGACCCATCAGGAGAGCAGAGGTACATGAGGAATCCATCTAATGTCATGGCATGGAGACTCCTGGCTGAAAAATACATCAGACATAAAGAGAACAGCAATTATTACACCCCTGGCTCACTTGCAAACACAGCGTGCCAATCTGACTTCACAGGTCACCCTGTCTCGACAGCACAGTGCCCCATCAGCACTGCCTTACAATCCTGGGCTGCTAACTCCAACAGGGACATGCTGACATTGGAGGCAGTTCGGAGAAGGGTCACCCCATGGGTTCCTAGACTGATAGGATTCTCTCCTGCGAAGAGGTTGGGCACGTTGGGATAAAGGGGGGCTTTTTCAGGAAGGCAACCTGCAGCTAGTGAGCACCACAGGGATCAGTGCTGCAACCACCATTATTTACAACATATATTAACGACTTGGATGAGGAAAGTGAATGTAAGTTTGCAGCTGGCACAAAACAGGGAGCAGGCAAGTGGTGAGGACGTCACAAACAGTGTGCAGGGGTGAAAATTGGCAGATGGAATACAAAGTGGGGAAATGTGAAGCAGTACACTTTGGCAGGAAGAATAGAGGAACTAAATAAGAGGCTTCGGAGAGATCTATGGGGATGTTGCCAGGAATGCAGGGTTTGAGTTACAGGGAGGGGTTGGATAGGCTGGGACTTTTTGTCACTGAAGTGTAAGAGGTTGCGAAGTGACCTTATAGAGGTTTATAAAATCATGAGGGGTACAGATAAGGTGAATGGTAAGTGTCTTTTCCCTAGGGTGGGGGCTTTCAAGACCAAGGGGCATATTTTTAGGTGACAGGAGGAAGATTTAGAAAGGACATTAGGGGCAAATTTTTAACACAGAGAGTGGTTCACGTGTGAATGAACTTCCTGAGGAAGTAGTGGATGTGGGTACAGTTACAATGTTTAAAAGACATTTAGGTAAGTACATGAATATGAAAGGTTTGGAGGGATATGGGCCAGGAGAAGGAAGGTGGGACTAGTTGGGTTTGGGACCATGGTCAGCATGAGCTGGTTGGGCCGAAGGGTCTGTTTCCATGCTGTATGACTCTATGACTGCAGAAAGCACTGAGGGATTTGCGAGTCCTTGTCCACAAATCATAAAAAGCCAGCATCCGATTTCAGTGAGTAATGGGAAAAGCAAATGGATTGTTGGTCTTTATTTCAAAAAAGGAGGGAGGTTTTGCTAAAAATGTACAAGTAATTGGTCAGACCAGAACACTGTGTGCTGTTTTGATCCCCTTATCTAAGGAGAGATGGACTGACACTGGAGGCAGGCCAGAGAAGGTTCACTCAGCTGATCTCACGTAAGGAGGAACTGTCTTACGAGGAGAGGTTGAGTAGGTTGGGCCTGTACTCAATGGAGTTTATGAAGAATGAGAGGAGACCTTATTGAAAGATACAAGATTCCGATGGTGCGGTTGAGGGGGAAGTGATTGGAATGGACAGGATGGGAGCAGAGATGATGTTTGTCCCTCATTTGGGAATGTGGAGCTGGTGAGCCAATTGAAGATGGAGAAGGGGAGTGGTACCTCACAGAGAGGATTCAGTCAGCCTGGATTAGTACCCCAGTGCCTGATGGGACATTTATCCCATCTCCCAGCTCCAGTACCTGTCTCCGATGGTTCATATCTGGCAATTAGATCCATGGCAAATGTCTCCAAATTCTCCACTTGCTCGAGTTGCTCGTATTTTAGAAAATCTACAAATTCCAGGAGCGTCAGCTTCTTCCTGTCTTTGGAAAATTCATTGAAGAGTCTGTGAATGTCGTCCCGCTGAGTCAGTGCTTTATAAAACAAGACAAACTCATCGCCTTCCAGTGTTCCTGAGTGTGATCTGTCTGCCATCTGCAGGGACAGAGAACACAGAAAACACATTTAAACAAGGGCCCTCCCAGTTACTGTCCTCAATGCAGCCATCCTTCCTGGGTAAGATTATTGGCAGAGCCACTGCACTCACATCGTTCAGTATCCTTGGAAACATGCCTTGTCCACTTTAATTACCAACAGTTTGTCAGATACCTCTTTCTTGTCAATTTTAAAACCTTCTCCTGATTGAGTTCTCTGTCACCACAGCATCTCCTTCTTTTGTAAAGGCAGATGCAAAGTCTTCATTTAACACCTCAGCCTCCCAGTGTAAATCCCCCTTTTCCGTCTCTTTATGTACCTCTCGGTGACTACAGGATTCTCTCTTGTGTTAGCTAACGGTTTCTCTTCATAATCTCTCTTTGCTTCCCCACTCTCCCTCTGAACCTTCTGCGTTCAGTTCGCTTCTCTCTCTTGTATTTTCTACCTGACACCTGTCAGAAACACACCTTTTCTTCTTTAACTCTATCTAACATCGATCTCATCCAGGGAAGTCTGGATTTGTTTGACCTACCAGTGAGGGAATACACTGTCTCCGAAATGTTCCCACACTGACACTTCATTTACTTGATCTACCTCACTCCCAAGAACCAGGTCTCGCAGGATCTCCTTTCTGTTTGGACTAGGCATACATGGGGGCAGCATGGTGGCTCAGTGGTTAGCACTGTTGCCTCACAGTACCAGGGACCTGGGTTCAATTTCACCCTTGAGCAACCGTCTGTGTGGAGTTTGCACATTCTCCCTGTGTGTGCATGGGTTTCCTCCAGGTGCTCCAGTTTCCTCCCACAGTCCAAAGATGTGCAGGTTAGGGTGGATTGGTCATGCTAAATTGCCTGTAGTGTTCAGAGATAACACAGTGTGGGGCTGGAAGAACACAGCAGGCCAGGGAGCATCAGAGGAGTAGGAAAGCCAATGTTTCAGGTTGGGACCCTTCAGAAATCAGAAATGCTGTGTTCCTCCAGCTCCACACTGTGTTATCTCTGACTCCAGCATCTGCAGTTCTTACTATCTCAAGTGTCCAGGAATATGTAGGTTAGGTGTGTTAGCCATGTGAAATGCAGGGTTACAGTGTTTGGGTGGGATGCTCCTCAGAGGTTCAGGGTGTACTGAATGTGTTGAATGGCTTGCTTCCACAGTAGGGATTCTATGATACGCTGCTGTAGGAAATTAATGAACACTTGCCCCTTGTTAGCCCTTCCACTGCCAGTATCCCAGTTTATATTCAGATAATTAGTGGCCTTCATTAGGACCATCCTATAATTTCTTCACTTCTCTGTAATTACCTTGGAAATCTGTTCTTCTACATCCTTCCCAACATTTGATGGTCTGTAGATTACATCGCACAATGTAATCATGCCCTTTCAGTTCCGCAGCTCTATCAAACCAATTCTATTCTTGAACCTTCTGAAACATCTCTATCTCCAGCGCTACAATACTCTCCTGGACCAACACTGCCTCAGCCACCCATCCTTTCTTCCTCTCTTATCTTTACAGAACTCCTTGTGTCCAGGATGATTTAACACTCAGTCCTGCCTTTCTTAGTCAGCTCTCTATTATAGCCACAACACAATAATTCCACAGGCTTGTCTGCCCCCTCTGCCTCACCAATGCTAGCCTCTGATTTCTGGACTCATTGCGCACAACATTGGAGTAGTTTATTATTTTCCAGATCCTGCTTGCTAATTTTCTATCTAGCTCCCCAGATTCTGACTGATGAACCACCGCCCCCTTCCTGCCTACAGTGGTGGCATCAAGGTACCAGGGCATTTGGCTACTCACCCTTTCACTGACGAGGAATTCTGTGACATCTTTAGCCCTGCCACCATCCTGGGGCCAAGTCTACAGCAGCAGAAACGCCCATTTCTCTCTCTCTCTCCAACTAATACACAACCTCTCGCAGAACAGCGGCTCCGTGGCTCAGTGGTTAGCACTGCTGCCTCACAGCGCCAGGGACCCGGGTTCGACTCCACCCTCGGGCGACTGTCTGCGTGGAGTTTGCACATTCTCCCTGTGTCTGCGTGGGTTTCCTTCGGGTGCTCTGGTTTCCTCCCACAGTCCAAAGATGTGCAGGTTAGGGTGGATTGGCCGTGCTAAATGCAGGTATGGGGGTGCTAGGTCTGAGCGGCATGCTGTTCAGAGGGTTGGTGTGGTCTCAATGGGCCGAATGGCCTGCTTCTGCATTGTAGGGATTCTATGGAAAACCAAAGTGCTGGAGAGCTAAAACAAAAATTGCTGGAGAAACTCTGGCAGTGTCTGTGGAGAGGGGAAAGCAGGGTTAACGGTTCGGGCCCAGTGACAGGGTTGTTCTGAAGAAGGGTCACAGGCCCTGAAACATTAACTCCCTCTCTCCACAAACCCCCTACAGTGCAGCCATTCTACCTTCCCACCCGTACTGCTGAGCCAGCTATGGTACCACGAGGCTGGTTCTTACTGCACTGAAAGAATCCCTACGGTGTGGAAAGAGGCCATTTGGTACAAACAGTTCCACACCCCTGCCTTCTCATAGTCAATCCATCTAATACACACACACACACACACACGGAGAACATGCAAACCCCACACAGTAGATCGCCCAAGGGTGGAATTAAACCCAAGTCCCTGGCGTTGTGAGGCAGCATTGTTAACCACTGAGCCACTGTGCTGTCCCTCTTCTGGGGAAGCTTTGCCCTCACCAGTCTCCGGAACAACGAAAGCAATTCATGTGCAAATTCATCTCAGTGGCCACCTTCACTGTTGCCTCGTTCTCTTGGACAGCCTGGAGTCACACATTCCCCTATCCTGAGGTTGTAGACTTGCTCACCGAGCCGGTGGGTTTGGTTACAAACGTTTTGTCACCCTGCTTGGTAACATCGTCAGTGTATCTCCGGTGAAGCGTTGGCGTTCTGTCCTTCTTGTTATTTATATGCCTCGGTTTGATGGGGTAGTTGATATTACCATGCAAGGACTGTGAGAAACATTACATCGGCCAGACTGGGATAAAACTGACAATAAGGATACACAAACACCAACTAGCCACCAGGAAACATGACCAACTCTCACTGGTTTCAATACACACGGACAACGAGGGACACGATTTCGACTGGGACAACACATCCATAATAACACAAGCCAAACAGAGACACGCCAGGGAATTCCTGGAGACCTGGCATTCCAATCAGAACTCCATCAACAAATACACTGAAATGGACCTGATACACAAACCACTGAGAAACAGAACAGGAAGTAATGCCAACCACCCCAGCAAACTGAGGCATATAAATAACAAGTGGGACAGAACGCCAATGCTTCACCAGAGATACACTGACGATGTTACCGAGCAGGGTGTCGAAACGTTTGCAATCAAACACGCTGGCTCAGCGAGTAAGTCTACGACCTCATCCACAACCCGAGCTATAAATCTTCTCGAAAACGTTATTCCCCTATTCTGTAGTGTGACATCTCCCTGAACATACTGTCCCACGTAGAAGTCTGTCCATGTAGAACTCTGTGACCCCAGCTCCAAAACACAACTTTCTAAAGCAAATGGCACTTTCTGCTGAACACGTGGTTATCTGGGTCATGTAAAATATTTTTCTAAAATTCACAGGATGTGGGTATTATTTATTACCCAGACAGCAGTTAAGATTCAGCCATATTCCTGTGGGTCTGTCCCCATCATTATTCCCAGGACAGGGATAGGATGGGGTTAGACTAAGTAAGGATAGCAGATTTCCTTCCCTAAAGGACATAGTGAACTAGTCGGACTTTTCCCAATAATTGGCAACAGTTCCACAATTATCATTAATCCCAGTTTTATATTAAACTCAAATTCTATCTTCAGGCATTGTGGGATTTGAACCTGGGTTCCCAGAACATTACCTGAGCCTCTAGGTTACAGATGCAGTGACAATACCACAAGGTTGTCATGCTCCCACAACTGCCCACGTGCTACAGGATGGACATTCCATCATGGATAAGTAGGTTAGGTGGGTTAGCCATGTGAAATGCAGGGTTACAGGGTTTGGGTGGGATGCTCCTCAGACAGTTGGTGTGGTCACAATGGGCCGAATGGCCTTCTTCCACATTGTAGGGTTACTGTGAAAAACCAAAGTGTTGGAGAGCTAAAACAAAAATTGCTGGAGAAACTCTGGCAGTATCTGTGGAGAGACGCAACCCTATTGGATTCGAGGATGATCAGATCAGCCATGACCTCATTGAATAGTGGAGTTGACTCAATGGGCTGAATGGCCTACTTCTGCTCTTATATCTCCTGGGTCTTATTATGTCGCCTATACACTAGCCAGCTCGGTAACAGCGCCTTGCGGATATGATTGGTAGACTGTTCACAGTGAATAAGAGCAGAGATTCAGGAAGAACATCAATGCTTTGGAGAGGACATGGAGGGAGTTTTATCCCAAAGGGATGGGGATGAGGGAGCCCAGCGAATGAGAAGCTGGGATTGTTCTCCTCAGAGCAGAGAAGGTTCAGCAGAGATTTAATGAAAACCTCAGGGGAACGGGAAGAATTGATAGCTCTATCAAAAAGCTAGTATAGGCACAATGGGACAAATGGCCTCTTTACATACTGCATCATTCCATAGCATTACAATTGGAGCCTGCAGGGAGCAGGTTTAGGAGGCAGGACCCACCTTAAAGAGCCGCAAGGAGTGATCCTCGTTCATGTTCACATTCATCATCTTCAATAAAACCCGCACCTCCTTAAAATTCATCCTCCCGTCTTTATCCTTATCAGCTTTATGGAACCAGTCACTAATCCACGTGAGAGAGTCAGGGAAAGCAAACACGGACAGCCTTACACTCAGACTGACTACACGGGGTTACATACAGGGTAAAGCTCACTCTACACTGTCCCCCCCATCAAACACTCCCAGGACAGGGTCAGCACAGGGTTAGATACAGAGTAAAGTTCCCTCTACACTGTCCCCCCCATCAAACACTCCCAGGACAGGGTCAGCACAGGGTTAGATACAGAGTAAAGCT